CACAATCATACTCAATGAGTGTCGTCAGCTGGCAGGACACACAGATCAGGAATAAAGGCAGCTTCCACCTGCAACAGGACGTTGCCACTTACACAAACCACAAGCGCCAGAGGGCGGGTCTCGAAATAATAACCACCAGTGACGGGAACCCGAAGGTTGGTGTACCTGTATAGAGGCCTTGGTTTTTGGCTATAATACTTCGGTACAGTTTGCTGGGATTTTCAGCAGACAGTTTAAAGTTCTATCTTCTGCATCTAGGGAATGTAATAGGATATCACAGAAATCACAGGGGCTTAAAAGTCACTTAAGAAGTGTCTAAAAGTATGCACCAATATATTGTAAAACTGGAAATCAGATGCATTTAATATAAAGCCGAGGTTATTTTTTCTATCATACTTTTGGGCACATTTCTTAACTATTTCTTTAAAATTGATAAAGAAATCGAAAAATTTCGTAGGAAAACTGTATATTAGTACATTTCCAGCGGAAATCTGATGATATCTAAATTAATACCTATTTTACACTTATCTTATCTAGTTTTGTACTATCTGGTTTACTATTCCTGGTACCGGCGCCTAGTTTTCCCATCACTGAGAGACACCCATATTAGGCTGGTTCACAATAAGAGGACTTTCCATAGAACCAGGTCCAGACCGGGCCATTGTTCAACCACTTCATTTCGATTCTAATAACTCCAATTACAAATGGCGGATGGGATAAAACCATTGTGCATATGCCAGGGATCGGGGACTCGGGGAAGTGGGGATTCCATGAGTGTGGAAAACGGGTGCGGTTTGGTTTCACTTGCCATACGGCAATATGAGTGGGCGGTAAGTGGGTGGCTCAACTTGTTGCTGGACTTTATGACATGCCAGCCGCTTTATCCAGGCTATTATTTCAGGGATTTTATGTGAAAGGACAACGCACGAATGCGCAGCCAGTGGCCGGGATTTCAATGGTGAAAACGAGTAAGAGAACCCCACAGAACGGAAAGGTTCGGTTCCGCAGCGTGGAAATGGCCGAATCCTGCAATTAGGCTGCAAATGAGTTTTCCAGTTCGCATTGGGAATTTGTCAGCAAAACAAATTTTATTCCTCTACATGGATACTTAAAAGCTAGTTAATTTGCAAGTGAAATGGGAGTGGATAGGATCTTCTTCGTCGATGAGATTGGCTAGGAAACGTAACCGTAGGACTTTCACTAGAGTACACTTTACTTAAGACGGAAGCGACGCAGAGTGGGTGACAGGTAATCCTGGCTAGAGATGACATTGGCGGGCAGGTACTCCGAGCTGGGAGCAGCGGGAGCAGCAGGAGCAGCTGGAGCCGAGCTCGAAGAAGCCGGCTGGGCGGGGGAAGAGGCGAAGTTTAGGACTGGAGCACGACCCTCGTTGGAGATGCGGGACACGCCGGGCAGCTGGTTGTACTGGTTCTGGATGGCCAGCTGGGCATTGGCCGCATCCTCGGGAGTCCTGTACTTGACGAAGTGCACCTCGGGCTTGTTGGTAGAGCTGGACTTCAGGGCATTGAGCTGCTTGGCCAGGTTGGACACATCGGATTGCTTGGTCAGCACATAGATGGCGGTCTGCTGATGGGCGGATTGCTTGGCCAGCTGGAGGGCAGCCTGCTCGAAGCCTTGGTTTTCGGGAGCACGGATGAACACAACGCGGAGGTTCTTCTTCAGGGAGTTGGCGATCTGCTGGTTGCTGGCACCCTCATCGTACTGCTCCTCGGGTGCTGCATAGCTGTAGAACTCCTTCTGGAACTCCTCGACCAAGGGGCAATCTGAGGAGCCACCGGGGCCTGGATGGGCGACAAGTGTGGGGCTTCAATGGGCTGGGAAAGCACAGCCTCGCCACTCTGGACAGGCTGGAGCAGCTGCTGCTGGGGAAGTTCCCAATCACCTGACCTGATCCAGGCAAAAAGGACAGACCCTCATCGGCATGGGCCACCGGCTGGTAGTTATAGCCCAGTTTATCAGCACTGCAACTAGCAGCCAACAGACAGAAGACCTATTAGATAGAGAAAACATGATTGATTTCCTGGTAAGCTCCAATCCCTTAAAGACTTACGATAAAAGCGCGCATTTTGATGAATGGAAGCTACTTTCAATTGGAGCTGATAGGAGGAACTAATGCTGGATGTCAAACCCCAACTGGCTTTTATAGTTGACCACAGATCATCTGCACTCACCCCTCCCACGAAAAAGCCCCTGTGTTTCTTCGACCAACTAAGAGAGAGATCCACTGTTTAGGAACGACCTTGCGTTGATTTGATTTCGATGCTTTTCGATCGTCATTAAAATGCCCCGGCGTTTAAATATGCAAGCGTATTCCCAGACCCATAGGCCTATCGCCGATCCACGATCGCTTGTCTTCGCTTTTGATTTAAATGCACTCTGCCATGGTTATAAATATGCATGGGGTGTATCAGGGACTGCGATTGCGAATGGATGCCACATTATCTAATTGATTTGTTTTTGCTGCGACAGGCCATAAAAAATCCCATCTGGATGGATGCTGCTGCGGCAGCCACTGTGTTGAAATGCTCGGAAAGTAAACGGCTACTGGCTTTGGCGATAATATCTGGTGGTCGGCCAGTTGGCTGCCAGTTGGTGCTCCGGGTTTCGGTTTTCAGTTCGCCAGCCAGCTTAAGCCGGTAATTATAATTTTCATAATTTTCCACAAGCTCGCGCTTTTCACTGGGCACGGGGTCGAAAGCGTCAATCTCTTTCGACGGTTCAGTTAATGAAGTTCTTTAACTAATTTAAACTTTTTCGGTATCGTTTGATGGCCAAGCCGAAATAAGAATTTAAATTGTGGAATAGCAGCTGTGTGGGTCGATGGGTCGTCAAAAAATTATATCAGAAAGAAATTCTTAATTACAATTTTCCTTGGAAATTGTTTTGGCTAGGCTGGAGCTGGTTCTCGAGATACAAGATGACAAAGAAATTTTCTATTAAAGTTATAACTGTTTAAGGAGAGCTATTATTAAAATACAATTATTTTTCTTACCTTTAAGTAATAATCTTGTTATAAACAGGTCAAAATCTTAAACGATGGGGATGAAATTGCATTTTTTTAATCGCAGGGAAAGCAATCATGGATGATACTTATGATCTTTTTAAAGAAAGTTAAGAGCCTTCAAATGTACTATAATTTATAAACTAATTTTTTACGTCAAATCAATTTTTTTTTATAGAGGATATAACTTATAAATAGTTTACTGTTATTAACTAAATTTACCTTCATAATAGTGATTCATTAACACCACCATCGCTATTCTTTTAGTAATAACAATATCTTCAATAAGTGCTTAAAAAACACCCTGAAGAGAGTCTGCTGAAGGCAGGGGACTCTCCTTGGCCGTATTTCCTCGGATTAGCCATGCAGATGACTCCAGCATTTGGCCACTCATGCTGGCTATTAGCCGTCCCGGCTGCATAGCCAAACTCTTACCAAAGTTGGTTGGGCCAAGAACAACAAACACAGGAAACGCAGAGGCAGCAGCGCCAAAACTGCGCCTAATTTCGAAATGGCAGGCCAAACAAGCCAAGAGCCCCGAAAACGAAGAAAAGATTGGGAAACACGCAAACTTGGCAGCTGCTACAGCTGCTGGATGGAATCCGAGACTTGGACCTTGGACACACCTGTCCCGAAATTGCAGCAAGTCATGAGCTGCCTCCGGCCAGGATTCAGGATTAAAGCGCCTGGTTCCGAGATACCGCGAAATAAAAAAGAGGTAGGTTTTTCGGGGGAATGGAATGTTGGAGCGGCAGCTTTGACGTGACTGGCAAAGTTTTTTGGCAGGCACCGCTAACGAGCGAAGCGGAGCTCGTCCTCCGCAGGATCCCAGGATCTCATGTTGCTCAAAAATGCTTAAACTAAAACTTGCTCAACAGATTTGCACTGGTGTAGGGGGTGGCCTTTTTACAACTGCACTTCGCCGTGTCATATGGCACTGGGTGTAGTGTAAGTGTGTGTTTGACCTTTGACACTAAAACAATTTGCAAAGCGAAATGATGTCAGCCCCAGTGTCCGTGCCCGTGTCCGTGTCCATGTCCTGTCTATTCCGCACTCCCCCGCCCTGGCATAGTGGCGTAATTTAGTTGAAACATTCTTAAAGTACCGCCTGTCGTGAAATTCTCAGTTCTGGTGGGTTAGGGCTTGGGGACTCTAAGGGAGGGGGTGACAAACTCCCAGCGCAGCTCATTAAAAAGTTTTCCTGCGACATCCTCGTCGGCGACATTTGCTTAAGAAAACATTCGCTGGGCCTTCCCTGGTGGTTGGAGTCGGTTACCAACACCTTAATGATTATCCACGAGATACTTTGAAGATAATCCACAAAGTGTGTGCGGGGGACCCTGGGGGAATCTCAGAAGTAAAATGTTACGCTCTTAGGCTGAGTAATTAATTATTCATAATAGCAAAGCTATAGCTAACCAGCCACCTTCTTCGCCATAACAACTAAATGTTTTTTGATTGAAATTTAAATTAAATTTGTTTACAAGAATTCGGCTTTCGTTGCGTTGAGTTATTTATGAGCAGCTCACTCTATAAATTACTGTGCAACAGGAATCACAAAAAGTGTCTTTCATTAATTATTAATTTCATAACAGCATTAATCGAACTAATTATTTTAAAATAGCCTTGCTATCAACACTGGCTATTTATTATTATTGTGATTTAATTGCTACTATCGATTGCTTTAGTCAGCAGGGAAAAGCTTTTATTATTGCCATTTAAAATTCCATACTTACGGATAAAATTGACTTATATTAAACAATTTTTGATGTTCCACGACTGTGAAATTAAGCTACCGAAAATATAATTAACAACAATCAAAATGAAATGAATCTGCGAGTCCATAAATGAAAAGATTTCACAAGCTGGTGAATATATTTATTGATTAAATATAAAGGAACAGCTCAATTGATTTTACCTACTTAATTTAGTTAACCTTTAAACAATCTTTGGCTCTAGCCTATAGTTATTAAATTATCTAACGTCGTTTTCCCGGTGGGAGATATTCGCGGAATAGGCTTGTAGTTTGGCAGTTTCCAATTCACTGGCCTGCTCATGAGTCTCGTATTCTTGACTATCTTTGGGACGGATCTTGAAGATCACTGGAGTCTCAGTTGTTTGAGGTTTTAGCTGAATAACATTGGCTTTTTCTATGGCATGATTGATAGTATTGCCTGGTAACCTATCGTAATCACTTCTCAAAGCACTCAGAGCTCTGGTTACATCAGCTGGAGTTCTGTATTTCACAAAGTGCACCGAGGGTTTTTCAGTGGACTGCTGTTGAATCAAAGCCTGCTGTTTGGCCAGAGCATCTGCATCCGCCTGCCGGTGTAGCACAAAGATATCCAGTGGATTGTTAACCGCCAGTTGTTTGGCAGTCAGGGAAAATAGATTAGTCTCAGGTGTCTTTATGAACACCACCTGTTGCGGTGGGGAGAGCACCTGGGCCAATTGCCTGGCCGATTGCCATGGCGACTGATCCTGATCCTCCTCTGGAGGAGCGTCATAGGTAAAGTACTCAGTGGCCAATTTTCCTCCATTAATCACTTCATTTTCAGCTGGTAGATAAATATCTCCCAATCCATAACTTGTTCCAAAGAAGAACCCAAGTAGCTACAAGAAAATCACTAAGTTAACCTGTTTAACCTCCAGTTAAGTTAAGCAAACTTACCAACAAGGAGTACATGGCTCTGTATCTCCGCACCGGCACCGGATTTTTTGCCATTTTTACCCCTCGACGAGCTGCTCGGTTATAATCCAGTCCCAGCAACAAAACCATCCTTATATACGACACAAACAAATAGATGTTCGAAAGTAAGCTGGCTTCTCGGCCGCGTCGTCTCTCGTTATGATTATATTTTATTTTATTTAGTTTTTTTTGCATTTGATATTTTATCTTCTCTTTAAAAGATTTCTGCAAACGTTTGCTCTGGTTTTGTGCTGCTCCGATTATCCATGTTAATGTCGTTCAATTTTGAAATGCAAATTTTATCAGGGGGTTTGCAAGAGCCCAACAGACCCCAAAACAAAAGGCAAATTCCATACGAATACAGAAGTATGGCTGTGCGTTTGACCCGTTGTGCCCGGCTTGAACTTGAATTTAATTCGCATAAAATTTACAAATGAGCTCCCAATTTGAATTAGTTATAAAATATTTTCATCCGTGCTCGCCAATGGGGCCCCATGTCCCATTGTTGTCGCCTGTCATAGTCAAAGCCATTTGTTTTGACTACCATATAGCAATATTTAAAACCCTGAGGCTTACACCTCCGCAGCTCCACTTTCACTCGGCCTGGTATTTTTTTACGGCCGACGTTTTATGGCTACCGATTTGTTAATTTACACGTCATTTTGATGGTTTTTTATTTTGCGGGTCTCTTCAGCTTTTTTTTTCTAAGCCTATAGGCCTAAAATCTGTGATAAGCAGCTTACCGAAATTAACAACTTCAGCTAAAGAAAAAAATCACAGGTGGCAATATTCATTGATAGATCTTCGGCTTTATTTGCAGCTATAACTAGTTACCCCTGGGGGAAGTCTTATGGTAATCTAATTTAATGTCTTAATTAAGAAGTTAAAGCCTCAGTCGTTTTCCTGGGTTCGGAGAGGGAAAAACCATGCGACTTCCCGACCTATGACGCTCATTGGCTCTAAAATCAAAACGCCTTGATCTGGCAGAGCGGTAGTCCACCTGGGCATTTTTATAACTATCTGAAAGATCTTGTTGAGCTTCAGGAACAGGTGGAAGATCTATATGTCCTATAGCAGAGGCTCCAGCTGAGGCTCCTGCGGCATTGTAGCCCTGGGAAATGGAGGAGTAACTGGGCAAGGGAGGCAGATAACCCGATTGTGGTGGTAAGTTGATTGTTGGACAGACTGTGGGTAACCCTCTTGGGAAGCCGGATACTCCCCAGGCTGAGGATCCTCCCCGTACTGTGGCTGCTGCTCGGGGTAATAACCCAAAGATGAGGCCTTCGAAGCCTGTGGAATCGCAGATCCTCCGCCATATTGGGCCTGTATATATTGTTGGGCCTGAGCAGCCTCCTCCTCCGTTCTATATTTCACAAAATGAACTTGGGTTGTGTTTCCTTTGGGATTTCAGGGCACTTATTTCGCTGGCCAGTTCATTGACATCCGTTTGTTTATTCAAAACATAAATGGCCGTCTTATCCTCCGTAGTTTGCTTGGCCAGGGCACTCAAGGCACCCACCACAGCCTTGTTTTCCGGGGCCTTGATAAACACCACCTGAAGGTTCTTCTGGCCAAGAGATGCTAGCTTGGATTCCACCAAGTTTGCCTCTTCCGTGGAATCATAGGGAGCCTCAAAGGCATAGAAATGTTTGTGGAAGTCAGCATTCTCCTGGTAGTGATTTCCCGCTTGGCTGGGATACCTTTCCTCAGCCAAACCAGCTTCATTTCCATAGCTATTCACTGGGGATCCATAACTATTCTGTTGATACTGGTAACCCAGTTCCGCTGAACAGCCAGCCAATAATGTGAAAAACTAGGACAGATTTTATTAGCTAACAACCTGGCTAATTCCAGACTTAAACTCACCAGTATTCCCAGCATGATATAACCTCAGCGAAGAGCAAAAAACATTTGTCAGACAATCCCGAGCAGACAAAGCGTTTTATAATATTTTTTGCCCTCCAAAGTGGTTTGCTAAAGATCGCCAAATTGGGATAACCTTCTAGCTTATAAGGTAAATAGTTCAATGTCGTCTCCAGCAAAAGTGTTACAAAATTCGCATGATTCCCCCGAAGAGATTACAAAACTCTTTTATATTAACAATATTTTATTGTGGAGACATCTCGAAATTCGAAAGATTTACAAACTAGGCAACATGGGTGTGTAGGAATGTTGATGGGGTCACATGGGTCAGTCTGGTTTGGGTAACCTATTGGCGGAACCGGAGGACCGAAGCGGGCAGGTAGGAGCTACCAGGAGCCAAGGGAGCAGCCGCCTGGTGGACAGCCGGCTGGGAGGCGAAGTTCAGGACGGGAGCAACTCCTCCATTCTGGATGGTGGAGGATCCGCCCAGCTGATCGTACTGCGACTGGATGGCCTGCTGGGCATTCACTGCATCCTGGTTGGTCCTGTACTTCACAAAGTGAACCTCGGGCTTGTTGTTGTTGTTGTTGCGGATGGCATTCAACTTGTTGCTGAGATCCCCGATGTCAGCCTGCTTGTTCAGGACATAGATGGCGGTCTCCTGCTGACCAGCCTGCTTGGCCAGAGCCACGGCAGCGTTCTCCAGGCCAGTGTTCTCGGGTCCCTTGATGAAGATCACGCGGAGGGCCCGGTTCAAGGAGCCGGAAACCTGCTCGGAGCCAGCTGGTTCGTTGAAGTCTCCTTCGTCGGCGGTGTAGGTGAAGAACTCCTTCTGGAGCTCAGCCTGGGGAGCCACATAGCTGGTGGCCACGGGAGCAGAAGGAGCAGCTTCAGGGGCAGCAGCGGGCACATAGGACTCGGCGGGGGCATCCTGGCTAGCAGCCACCGCAGGAGCGGCGTAACTGGAACCCGAAGGAGCAAAGGATGTGGAAATGGGAGCCGAAGCTGCAGGCTGGTAGTTGTAGCCACTCCTGGCACTCACGGCAGCAACAAGGCAAAGGGCCTAAAAAGGATTCAAAGAAGGATTCGTTTTAGTTACTCATATCAAAGATACTTATCCTCAGTTTCCAAAGTAGTATACTTACAATAAGGACGCGCATCTTGTTGATTTTTGTTGCGTAGGTGGATAACTCCGCTTGGTTAGCTGAATCGAAGGCAAGTATGTTGAACTCCAAGACGCCCACGACTTTTATGCGAAATCACTGCAGTTTGCAACTCTTTTCTTTTAGTTTTTTTTACCATCATTTGGTTTTTTAATTGGTTGTCTTGATGGTCTTTGATTTTGCACCTCATTTCGAGCATCGCTCCCTCATCAGCCGATCTTCAGTTTGGCCAATTCCCCTTCGCTTTTTGTCACCGACTTTTGGCCCCTGTTAACTCGGCTATAATCCATTGCTATTTTCTGTTTTTTCTGCTTAATCATCGGGTAAGCATAATTTTGTACGATTTTTTAAACAAACTCCGACGACTTTTCTGCTTATGCTAATCATTCGTGTAGTGGGTGCTCTTGAAAAGAGCTGTCGTTGACCACTTTGGCTCTTTGTTATTGGCCATTCATCCGGCCACGCTGTTATCACTCATACATTATGTATTTCGTATGCCGTCTTGGTTCCGTCTTGCAGTTGCCATAAATTTGAGCGCTAATAGTTTGTCTAACCTTTTACTTCACGCAGATTAACATTTTAATTATGATAAAAAAATTTCGTCGATTGTTTTGGCGATGAGATGGTAACATTTCCCCCCAAAACATGTAAATTTTTATTGATTTCCACTTGTATTCCATTTTGGCGCCAACGCTTTGGAATTTTTATGGCCACTCGGGGCATGCAATAAACGCCGAGCTGGGCAATTTCTCACCCGATGGGTTTGGAGTGAGTGGATCCATCAAAAATCTTTGGCCCAGTTCCCACAGCCAGGGCAGATGTAGTCAAGATTAGGGTAAAAAAGTAATTGTATTTGAGGGGTTCGTTCGACAAATCAATAGATAACACAACAAGTCAACAAAAGGAGCAGCTAGGAGCCACATGGCACATCCTACTTGCGGAAACGCAGGCGACGCAGCACCGAGGAGGGCAGGTAGGAGTTCTCGGGGATCTGGGCCTGGGCCTGACGCACTGGACCGGCGGAGGCGAAGTTCAGGGCAGGCCACACCACCATCGTGAGCTTGAGAGGATCCTCCCAGCTGGTCGTACTGCGACTGGATGGCGCGCTGGGCGTTGGCCGCATCCTCGGGAGTCCTGTACTTGACGAAGTGCACCTCGGGCTTGTTGTTGGCGTTGCTGCGGATGGCGTTCAGCTTCTGGGCGAGCTCTCCAATGTCGGCCTGCTTGTTCAGGACATAGATGGCGGTCTCCTGCTGGGCAGCCTGCTTGGCCAGAGCCAGGGCGGCGTTCTCCAGACCACGGTTCTCGGGTCCCTTGATGAAGACCACACGTAGTCCCTTGTTCACGGAGCCGGCAACGCGTTCCAGGCCTGGGGCTCATCGAAGTCCTCCTCGTTGGCGGAGAAGGTGAAGAACTCCTTCTCAAGCTCGCCAGAGGGAGCTGGGGCGTTGTAGGAGACGGGGGCGCTCAGACCAGCAGATCCCAGGGAGGAACCCAGACCAGATCCAAGGGAGGAACCCAGACCAGATCCAAGGGAGGATCCCAGGTCGCCGCCCAGACCGCTGTCCAGGCTGCCGAAGTTGCTGCCGCCGCCCAGGCCTCCCAAGGAGCCACTGCCTCCTCCCAGGCTCAGGAGCCACTGCCGCCACCCAGGCTGTGGGAACCGCCTCCCAAGGAGCCAGATCCACCACCCAGGCTCAGGGAGCCGCTGCCAGGAGCGAAGGACAATCCCGAGGAGGAGTGGCCCACTGGCTTGTAGTTGTAGCCCAGCTTGTCGGCGGAGGCGATGGCCACGAGGCACAGGACGATGAAGGCGCGCATCTCTGGGCTTGAGGTTCTAGTTGGAGCTCTGAAGTCGAAGTCGGAAGTCAGAATGATGTCGAGCTGAGCCGCCGGGCCATTTATATGGCCTGGTCGATGAGGCCGGGGCGTCAATCAGAACAGCCAGATGTCAGCGTGCTGGAGATCGCGATAAGGTTCGTATTGTCAGCGGGGCCTAACCTGTTTCTCAGTTTTTCTGTAGTTCAGTATTTCTGTTTCTGTTTATGCTTTTCCACTTGGCGGCTTTTAAAATTGGTTTTTAGTCTTTGGCCAGAAGCTGCGGCGTTGGCGGCGGCGTTGATTAAAATTTGATGAACATGCAGCTACGGACAAGCAAAATTTTTATGCAAATCAGGGCGACAAAGGGCTGGAGCTCCAAATTGTCCGACTAAGCAGTAGCCACATTCTTTTGTTCGCCCATTTTGTTATGCAAATCGAGGCTGGGATTTGATTGAAAGTAAGCCTCCCTGGCCCTCCGCTTTTCAGCCTAATTTCCCAGCTTAATAATTTTAAATTGCTCAAGCCATTGTTAACTGACTACAGATGTCCAATGTCCGATGTCCCCATGCAATTTGTCAAGTTTAGAGTGCCATCTCAATTTTTAACCGCGAAGTGCGTGGCTATGTGGGCAGCCAAGTAGCCAAGATAGCCGATAAGCCATATGTTATACACCAGACTATACAGATTATCATAAACCATCGGCAGGGCAGAGAAAACATCTTAGGTTTCCGCTCATTTGCAATTTTCACAAACAGCTCTGACGCACGGACTCATAATTCAAAGCATGGCCAACCCGTTTTGCGAATACCAAAGCTCTGAAATATATTTCGAGCCTAGGAATGTTAAACCCAGAAGATCCGCTAGTCAAATTGACAATTTACATTAACAAACAAATTTATTTCGTCTTAAGATCTCAACAATAACAAAGGAATTCCTAGAAGGAACTTAGCACTTAGAACCTCAGGCGGCGTAGAATGTTGGCGGGCAGGTAGGAGCTTCCTGGAGTGGCAGGTGGCACATACGAGAGATGGGGGCGGTGGCCTCCGGGAGGAACTGGGCGGGCGCCAGACTGCTGGCGGCGTGGGCGGGAGCAGGCAGGCTGGGAGGCGAAGTTCAGGGTGGAGGCCACGCCGCCATCTTGAGCTTGAGAGGATCCTCCCAGCTGGTCGTACTGACCCTGGATGGCCGTTGGGCGTTGGCCGCATCCTCGGGAGTCCTGTATTTCACAAAGTGAACCTCAGGCTTGTTGTTGGTTGTTGCGGATGGCGTTCAGCTTTGGGCCAAGTCCCAATGTCGGCCTGCTTGTTCAGGACATAGATGGCGGTCTCCTGCTGGGCAGCCTGCTTGGCCAGAGCCAGGGCGCGTTCTCCAGTCCCTTGTTCTCGGGTCCCTTGATAAAGACCACGCGGAGACCCTTGTTGACGGCATTGGACACCTGATCGGAGGCAGCGGGATCGTAGAAGTCACCCTCGTCGGCGGTGTAGGTGAAGAACTCCTTCTCCAGTTGGGGCTGAGGAGCAGCGTAGTTGGGGGCAGCCACCGACTGAGATCCTTCCAGGGAGTCGGCAATGGATGAAGGTCCCGCGGCAAAGGATGAGGGACCGGCGGCAAAGGATAAGGGATCAGCGGCAAAGGATGAGGGACCGGCGGCAAAGGATCCACTGGGTCCCGCCGAGAAGGCAGGTGCATCACTGCTGGCCGCTCCCGAGGGCTGGAAGCTCAAACCCGAGGAGGAGTGGGCCACCGGCTGGTAGTTGTAGCCCAGTTTGTCGGCTCTGGCCAAAACGGCGAGGCACAGGCAGAGGACCACGGAGAACTGACGCATGTTGAGTGGGTGAGGTGGTTGCGGAATTTGATGCTGGTATCAGATGATTCTTTGGCTTTTATGCAGATGAAAGCCGCAGCTATGCAAAGCGCTCTGCATAAAGCGTTCTAATTACGGTCCAAAATCCACCCAGATCAGGCAGAACCACCCCAGACTCGCTAAGAGTTAAAATATGCAAGCCAAGCGGGTGGCTGCTGCACCGTGTGAGGTCAACTTTGCTGCTCGGAAGGAAGAGGCAGGTATTTTGAGCCATATATGAGACGGCGCCATGAAACTCATATTAAATTCAATATGCTGCCTTAATCAATATTCGCGTATTCTTCTACGCCGCCTTTTTGGCCAGTGCTGTGTGGACCAACCTTGCCAATTTGGAATTTTCATGTAGCTTTATCAATAAAAATCAATAAAAATCTGGCTATAAAAAAGAGCTGCGAAGCATCGTAAACCCCATTTGGGGCAATTTTGGTAGGTGCCTTGTTACGCTTCTCATGGATATGGTTGTGAATCGGAAATCTGGATGGGTTGATGAGAAGTGTCGCCCAAATCGGTCGGAGAGCGAACAAAACGTTTGACTGGCCGTTTCACATGCAAATGAGGCGCGCCTAGTCGAATTTTCTGCTGCCAAAAATAAATATTTTAACGATTTGCCAAATTATTATTGCCTTATTCAGCGGCTTTGTCTTGTTTTTTAACGTCGCTGCTTTATGCAAATGTTGCGGGTGGAGGCGACCTTCCATCCGCCGGAAGTTGAAGACCAGCCTCATCGCTAAATATAGCCGCCATCTTTTTCTGCTTACTATATCATATTGATTGCCTAGGCCGATCGCTAATTAACAACTGCACTGCTTCGCCTTGTCAGCGCCGAATCAGATAATTCGATAATTGGTCTCTTAATAAATTACTTGGCGCCACCTGATTTGGCAATCCGAATCGGACAATCCGAACCCCTAAAAACTGGCCAATTCTGGCTAGCTGCTAATTTGCATGCCGCTTTACGCAGAGTCGAGAAACCGCCAAAAATATTTGCAACCTCAGCAGTAGCGTGACGAATATTAATAATATATAAATATAAAGAAACCGCATTTTAATCTCTTATTTATGCATTTTTAAGTCAAATTTGAACTCTTCATAACTCATATGGCCGCATAGTGCAGTCGAAGAACTGAATCTTGCACCTATAAAAGCAAGATGTCGGCGAGATAAGTCAGTAACCAATCATCGTTGCAATCCAAACAATCACCATGCGATCCTTCCTCGTCCTTTGCCTCGTGGCCATCGCCTCCGCCGACAAACTGGGCTACAACTACCAGCCGGTGGCCCACTCCTCCTCGGGATTGAGCTTCCAGCCCTCGGGAGCGCCAGCAGTGATGCACCGCTTTCTCGGCGGGTCCCAGTGGATCCTTTGCCGCCGGTCCCTCATCCTTTGCCGCCGGTCCCTCATCCTTTGCCGCCGGGCCCTCATCCTTTGCCGCAGGACCTCCTCCATTGCCGACTCCCTGGAGGGATCCCAGTCGGTGGCTGCCCCCAACTACGCTGCTCCTCAGGCCCAACTGGAGAAGGAGTTCTTCACCTACACCGCCGACGAGGGTGACTTCTACGATCCCGCTGCCTCCGATCAGGTGTCCAATGCCGTCAACAAGGGTCTCCGCGTGGTCTTCATCAAGGGACCCGAGAACCGTGGTCTGGAGGATGCCGCCCTGGCTCTGGCCAAGCAGGCTGCCCAGCAGGAGACCGCCATCTACGTCCTGAACAAGCAGGCCGACATTGGTGACTTGGCCAACAAGCTGAACTCCATCCGCAACAACAACAACAACAAGCCCGAGGTGCACTTCGTCAAGTACAGGACTCCCGAGGATGCGGCCAATGCCCAGAGGGCCATCCAGGGTCAGTACGACCAGCTGGGAGGATCCTCTCAAGCTCAAGATGGCGGCGTGGCCTCCACCCTGAACTTCGCCTCCCAGCCAGCTCCCGGGAAAGTGTTTCTGCCAGTGCTCCTGGACCCAGCTACCTGCCCGCCAACATCTTCCGTCGCCTCCGTCTCTAAGCGATAAGAGATAATTGTTTGATTTGTTGCCTAGTTATCATGTTGCTTTATTCTATAAATAAATCGAAAACTTGAAAGTAATCCGTACTGATTGTATTTTTAATCATCTCCTCCTCGAATCTGAGTTCTGTTCTGCAGATTAATTAATTTGATTGAAAAGTGTGTATCATATTTATTTCTTGTTCCGAGGAGTCACAGATATCACATTGGCTGGTATCCGGTTGGAATTTGTATAGGTATATCTTTATACTAAACGAATATAGGTCCAAGGGATTTTTGGAAGAAGTATAATCTACAAGAAATGAAAATATGATATAGAAATAAACAAAAAATTCTATGCTTCATCTCATAAGAGCTAACAATTTACGTTATTTTTACAAATAAGCAGGACGATATGTATATTATTTTGTTGTTTATTTTTAAACAAGAATCAGATTGCCTATGTAAATGTATATTCTAAATTTCTGTACTATTAATGTGCCATTGCACAAAAAATAATTATTTTTAAAAATATGATTATGTTTTCTTACTTTAAAATTCAAAAACAGCATACTCGTTAAATGTGTTTTCATATCGGACAGACAGGAAAGAGTATTAATATATGCTTGACGTCATCTTTAAAAACTATGAATATTAATATATAGATTGAAAAACCTTCAGTTCATCCGCTAAGCTTAGATGACTTAGCATTCTGGTTTTCTATTACTTTGTTATGGCAAAGATTTATATTATAAATTATTATCAAAGATATTCACGTTCTGTGTCAAAAAGGATATATTCTCATTTTAATATATACATCTTCATCTTGACACCTCCATAAGGAGACAATTTGTATACTGACGCGATTCGACGCTTCGGGCGCTTATATAGGAATCTTATGGGAATTCCCAGGCTATTTTAAACAGGTTCCCCCAAAGTTCAAAGCAAACTTCCGACATTCTTTCTGGCTTTGAACCCTAAACTAAAAAGTTGCTTGAAATTCTAGACCCACTTTCGATGGCGTTAGCGAAAAAGCGACAAACAGAGAACGCCGAGAAATCATAAACTATCAATGGAATCAGCATACGACTATGCATAGATTAAGCTTTTATCGATTCGTAGGCGGAACTCCAAGAATGCATCACATTGTATTCGACTTTAACGACTGCCAGAACATTTATAGACGGCTCTTACTTTTTTTGAAACGGGTTTAATAGTTTTGCAGCCTTTTCCCCAAATCGAATTCCGGGGCTGTTTTTAGCCCGGTCAAGAATAGATCGCGGCGCCATGAACCGGTTGAGAATTTGGCTTTGCAATTGGGCAGAAAGTCTGGGGTCGAGAATGTTAGGATAGTTTTGCATAATCATTTCATAAGCGCACCGCTTTGCATAAAAAACTAGTTGAGTTATGGAGCAACCCGACGGGAATGGTGTCGCTTATTGTTCTAAGTCGGTTCTAACTGCGCCGAAATGGGTATAAAAGCCGCTGGCCTCAGTCTCAGGATTCAGTCTTGGCCTTTGCCTGTTCAGCACACCCAGCCTAAAAAACAAAATCATCTTAACCATGCGTTTCTTGATCGCCTTCTGCCTGATTGGCGCCGCCTGTGCCCAGTACAACTATGGAGCGGGATTCTCTGGAGCCGCCTCCGATAATGTTCCCAGCTACGCCGGTGGCAACAGCGGTTTGGTGGTGGTGACTCCTACGATGGAGCGGCCAGCAGTCCGGACTACTCGGTGTCCAGCGAGCTGAACAAGGAGTACTACACCTTCGAGGCCGACGAGAGCCAGTTTGAGGATCCTCTGGCCGCCCAGAAGATCGCTGGCTCCGTGAACAAGGGTCTCCGCGTGGTGTTCATCAAGGGACCCGAGAACCGTGGTCTGGAGAACGCTGCCCTGGCTCTGGCCAAGCAGGCTGCCGAGCAGAGGACCGCCATCTATGTCCTGAACAAGCAGACCGACATTGGAGATCTGGCCAACAAGTTCAACGCCGTCCGCCAGAATGCCAACCAGCGCCCAGAGGTGCACTTCGTCAAGTACAGGACTCCCGAGGATGCGGCCAATGCCCAGAAGGCCATCCAGTCTCAGTACGACAACCTCGGAGGATCCAGCCAGTCCTTCAACGGCGGAGTGGCCAATGCCATCAACTTCGCCTCCCAGGGAGCTGCCCCCGCTCGCCGTGGCAACAACTACTCTCCTCCTGCCGCCGCAACGAGCAACTCCTACCTGCCCGCCAACATCCTGCGTCGTCTGCGCATCCGTTAAGGACGAAAAATGAAACTGACAGTTGTTAAATGTGTTCTAGAAATGTAATTGAATAAAAACGAAAACGAAAATCGATATAAACAATACATTTTGATTTTTAATATGTTCCTGTGGTTAAAAAATTGTCGTTTCAGATCCGACATTTTGCTAAATTGTTAATTTTAAAATACTTTCACTAATATATAAAAACATTGAAATTCTGAGAAAATTAAGATCTACAAAACCTATTCCACTAAGTGAAAATGACAAGGGAATTCAGATTTCTATATGAGATCAGTGTTCAGTGAGATCTCAGTTCACATATGTGATTAATGCCAGGGCCTATCTTAGATCTAGATGATCTTCTAAGTTTCTGACTTTGTCATCGGTTATTGCATTTTTATGCTCATGTTGGTTGTTTTTTTATGCTTTTCCTTATAATAACATTTATGCAAAGTTGAATTGCTCTGCGAGCCCGAACAAAAGCCGAGCGCTGCCTACTTTGTAGGCGGAAAAAACATTTAGCAGCATTTCAGCGCTTTGTCTTCGAGAAGCTGCGCCGCCAGCTTCGAAGTTGGGTTAGTATAAATATTAACCGCCGCCGTGGTCAAAGGCAGAAGCAATTTGTGCTCCGAACCAAGAGAACCAACCAGCAAACCAAACTCAAGATGCGCGCCTTCATCGTAAGTGGTTTAAGCCAGGATTTTCTGGGATGTTAGAACTAATGGATATTCCTCGATTAATGTAGGTCATGTGCCTGGTGGCAGTCGCCTGCGCCGATAAGCTCGGCTACAACTACCAGCCCGTGGGCCACTCCAGCTCCGGACTGTCCTTTGCTCCAGGAAGTGGCAGCATTGGAGGAGGATCTATTGGAGGAGCATCCCTTGGAGGCGGTTCCCTTGGAGGAGGCTCCATTGGAGGAGGAAGCATTGGAGGTGGCTCCATTGGAGGCGGTTCTATCGGTGGTGGCTCCCTCGGAGGTGGCCTCGACTCCGGTCTTGGTGGCTTGAGCGGTCTTGGTGGCCTGGGAGGTGGTGATGCCCTGAGCGCCCCTGTCTCCTACAACGCCCCCGCTCCCTCTGGCGAGCTCGAGAAGGAGTTCTTCACCTACAGCGCCAACGAGCAGGACTTTGATGAGCCCCAGGAACTGGAACGCGTTGCCAACTCCGTGAACAAGGGTCTCCGTGTGGTCTTCATCAAGGGACCCGAGAACCGTGGCCTGGAGAACGCCGCCCTGGCTCTGGCCAAGCAGGCTGCCCAGCAGGAGACCGCCATCTATGTCCTGAACAAGCAGGCTGATATTGGAGATCTTGCCCAGAAGCTGAACGCCATCAAGAGCAACTCGAACAACAAGCCCGAGGTGCACTTCGTCAAGTACAGGACTCCCGAGGATGCTGCCAACGCCCAGCGTGCCATCCAGTCGCAGTACGACCAGCTGGGAGGATCCTCTCAGGCCCACAATGGTGGAGTGGCCTCCGCCCTGAACTTCGCCTCCGCTGGTCCCGTCCAGAAGGCCCAGGCCCAGATCCCTGAGAACTCCTACCTGCCCACTTCCGTCTTCCGTCGTCGTTTGTAAACACTTTCTAACGACTTCGTGATGAAGCCGTAGCCTTCCTTGTTAAAACTTATTGTTGAAACCTATTGATAAATAATATAAAAATTGAAAAACAAACTTTTCTTGCGTATTCTTTTTGTGGTTGTTAAAAAATATGTTTGGGTAATCAAATAGAGCTTAAGTTCAAGGGTATAATATAAGCATTGCGTCCTACGAACTTTAATTTGCCTTCGAATTTATCATAAGTAACATTAAAAATTTATTTTAGGAATTAGTGGTTAGACATTAACACACATTTGTCTTAAGATTTTATGGTTTCTGATTCTTTTAAATACTATTTTTTCAAACTATCGTTTTTATGACCTATATACAGTAAACAAAATGTATAAGTTAGAAAGGAAACAAAAAGCATTACGCTTGGCGTGCATCAATAAAATAATACTTTTCATCCTACAGGAAATTAAAGTATTCCTAAAGCCGGCTTGTCCTGATGACCTTGACGTTAAGTATTTTTTATAAGACATATTTTTGTTCTAAACAAGGATTTATAACTAAAATATAAGGGAAGTTAAAAGTCTTGACGTAAACAACTTAATTTCTTCCGCATATTTTTAGTATAGGCTAGGATTATAAAAACAAAAGATGCAAAATATATTACGTCACAACGTACTATGTCCACCGCTTTTAAAATAAGTTTCCTAATAAATAAATAACTTATGCAAAAAACCGTATCAATGACCTGGGGGCGGCTTTTCAAACACCTCATTAGACGTGTTGCTAAATATAGCGCTTGCATCAGGCCCATAAATCAGAACTAAACAGATGTGTCGAAAACGATTATGACTACTAAACGATTGTCGTTGGGGTCGGAAAACCCAAGTGCAGCTGTCCTACATAAAACAAGCTCCTAGCCTTGCCGAAGAATTTGTGAAAAATATTTTATTTATTTAATATAATGCCTAATTATGACCCATCTGCACGCTAAACTCATTCCGATGTGCTCGCGACATATTAGTTTTATAATTTCAAATGAATTCTTGTAAAATATTGGACGAAACTCGAAATATTTGAATAACCCACAGCGTCGGTGTCTCACTGCCCATTCAAACGCAACGAAAAAATTCCACACCGAACATTAAAAAAACCGAGGAAGCAAAAACCTTTGTAGGCGGCAAAACACACTGGCTTCAAAGAGATCTCCGTGCATCGCAGACGCCGCCGCGGCGGTATCTTTTGTTTTATCAGCCTCCAAGATGGATTTGTATAAATAATAAAGATCGCTCCTAGCCAGAGACACAAGCAAATCATACTCCAAAAGCAAAAGAACCAGCCAAAATCAGCTCAAGATGCGCGCCTTTATCGTAAGTAGAGCGGTCGAGGATTCCAAGGATTATACAAAAGGATAACACCTATATTATGCTCTATAACAGGTCATGTGTTTGGTGGCAGTCGCCTGCGCCGATAAGTTGGGATACAACTACCAGCCGGTGGGTCACTCCAACTCGGGACTATCCTTTGCTCCAGGAAGTGGCAGCATTGGAGGAGGCTCCCTTGGAGGAGGCTCCCTTGGAGGAGGCTCCCTTGGAGGAGGCTCCCTTGGAGGAGGCTCCCTTGGAGGTGGCTCCCTTGGAGGTGGTTCCATTGGCGGAGGACTCGACTCCGGTCTTGGTGGCTTAAGCGGTCTTGGTGGCCTGGGAGGTGGTGATGCTCTGAGCGCCCCTGTCTCCTACAACGCCCCCGCTCCCTCTGGCGAACTCGAGAAGGAGTTCTTCTCCTACACCGCCAACGAGCAGGACTTCGATGAGCCCCAGGAACTGGAGCGTGTGGCTGGATCCGTGAACAAGGGTCTCCGTGTGGTCTTCATCAAGGGACCCGAGAACAAGGGACTGGAGGATGCTGCTCTGGCTCTGGCCAAGCAGGCTGCCCAGCAGGAGACCGCCATCTATGTCCTGAACAAGCAGGCCGACATCGGAGATCTTGCCCAGAAGCTGAACGCCATCAAGAGCAACTCGAACAACAAGCCCGAGGTGCACTTCGTCAAGTACAGGACTCCTGAGGATGCTGCCAACGCCCAGCGCGCCATCCAGGGTCAGTACGACCAGCTGGGAGGATCCTCTCAGGCTCATGATGGTGGCGTGGCCCCCGCCCTGAACTTCGCCTCCGCCGGTCCCGTCCAGAAGGCCCAGGCCCAGATCCCCGAGAACTCCTACCTGCCCACCTCGTCTTCCGTCGCCTGCGCATCTAGAAAGCCCCCTTAGACTTTTAATATTAAGCTACAAATATGGACTGAAGAACTCATCTTCCTGTTACACGTTGTTGACTAATGCATAATTACACCAATAAATTTGAAATTATAAACGAAAATCCCAAACAAAGGTCTTCTTTATACTATAAAGTGTTTTATAGAGTGGCATTTTTATTGCTCTTGGGCCATAGAAGCTAATGGTGCATTAAGTCCGCCTTGCTCGGCTAGTTTAAATATAAACGGTGCCCTTCAGACTATAAATACCGAGATATCGAATAGAAGACATCAAGATAAGGAAGGTAGATCAAAGCAGGTTTCCTTTATGAGTTTCACCAAGCATTTCAGATTCCGACTGACTTTCCATACAAATCGCTGGACTAATTGTCTGACATAGTCCCCAAGTCGCATGCCGCCGAATTAATCGTCTACAAGATTAGATCCACCCACTAGGCATTAATATCGGGGCAAGCATTAATATCCAACTCCCGACTCCAACTCAGGAACTGGTTCTCCGGCGACGACAGCTCAAGGTCGCTGAGATGACAGCCACTGTTAGGTGACCTGGTTTCCAAAGTCCGTGAGTGTGTGTGTCACGTACAATTAGAAAGGAATCTCAAGTGCAAGACCCACATACGAAGGCAATGAAGATTTATGCCCAATCGAAACCTGATTAGCCATAAAAACGAAATCTAATCATTAATTTTATTAAGCTGACGATCACTTTTTTGTTGAAATCATTAACAAATAAGCGGTTCTGTATACATATTCAGGCAAATATAAAAAAACAATCGGCTGGGTTTTTGTTTTTGGTGCATATATTATAAGCCAATTATGAGTGAATCACGATGGTTCGGAAAACGACTGGACTCGCACTCCGGACTCTCGAAATCGGAATCGCATCTCAAAAGTCGGCACGATTGAAGCTACCTTTTGCCCAAAACAATGTGTTAAATGTGTTAAGAGCGAAATTATGTTAGCAGATTAACAGCATTCCGAAAACCCGATGGCCAATAGCCACTGGCCATTCACGATTCACAGTTCACGACGATTGGTGAGCGGAGATCGATGATGAGGAGCCCCGAACCCCGACGGCTCAATTGACTAGATTTTCTAGTCTAATTTTAAACGCCGTCGCGTTGGCGGTATAAAAGGTAGATAATGAATGCCATATTATTCATTCCCTAGAACACTTTGTGGGCGACAGGTCTATAATATGCGTGCTCTTATTATTCTAAGCATTGTGGTGGCGGCAAGTGCCGGAAGTTTGTCCGGATATAATTACGGACAGGGAGCAACGACCAGTATTGGAGGAGGAGGAGGTGGATCTATAAGTCCTGCACTTTCGGGACCCGTGAGCTACAATGCCGCTCCCCAGGCTGGAGTCACCAAGGAGTTCTACAGCTTCTATGCCAATGACGCCGACTTCGAGGATCGCGAGGGCTCCAAAGGGCTTTGGCTACCATCAAGAAGAATGTCCGTGTGATCTTCATCAAGTCCCCAGAGAACCGTGGCTACGAGAATGCCGTTCTGGCCCTGGCTAAACAGGCTGCCAAGCAACAGACGCCATCTATGTGCTCCACAAACAAACCGATATCAACGAGTTGGCCCAGAAGTTCAATGCCGTGCGCCAGAATGCCAACAAGAAGCCCGAGGTGCACTTCGTGAAGTACAGGACTCCCGAGGATGCGGCAAATGCCCAGAAGGCCATCCAATCTCAGTACGATCAGCTGGGCGGATCCAGCCAGTCCATCAACGGAGGAGTGCCAATGCCATCAACTTTGCATCCCAGGGAGCTGCTTCTGCGAGAAGCGCCCCACAACAGGCTCCCCAGAGCAACTACTGCCCGCCTCCATCCTCAACCGCCTTCGTCACTAGTCAGTCCCTTGTTAAACCTTGTTGTCGAATAAAAATTATTAGTTTGTTTACGTGAAACACTATGTCGTTTGCTCCTAGTTACTTTCAATTAGTTTTGCTCTGCAATAACTAAATATTAAACAAACTTTCGTAACAGATCATCCAACAATAACACTATATTTACTCGTGATATATAACCTAAAATTTGAATTGAGATCTCCAAACTTAACATATTTTTATTATCGTTACAAATTAAAATGTTTTACCAAAAAAATATATGTCATATGATAGATATAAGAAGAGAACAATAATAAATTGCAGTATATGATAAATTATACTCTTTTACTCTAAGAGTAACGTGTACAAAAAGGATAGCCATGGGGGCCCCAGTATGTATGCAAATATTTTCTTAAATCTAAAACAAAGGCATGCGAGTGCTAGAAACTTCAGTTAGTTAATTTAAAGAAACCAAATTATGTTTTAAACAAAAAAGTACTTCGACTGCCTTCAGCTCAATTTTCAAAGTGTAATTCCTAGAATGCATTAAACGGTTTTGAGTTTTGATATATTAAAATGCTAAAGATTTTTTTTTCTTCTTGTTGTTTTCGCTTTCAAAGTTTGAAAGAAAAATATTTCGTGGGAATAAATCTCAACTTGCCAAGTTCCTTCGCCCATTAAAAAGGGCGAGCAAAGTTTTTGGGTGTTCAAAAAACGCACTACCAAGTAGTAAATTGGTTTAAAATTTAAGAATTGAGTTTATTTAAGCATTAGTCAACAATAACTAGGATTTAAAATCAGTCGAAGATCGCTGGCGTTTTTTCGATTCGATGAGGAACAAAAAGGAGCGACTTAGACGCGACGGAAGACCGAAGAGGGCAGGTAGGAGTTGTCGGGGCTCTGGCGGCGGCCTGACGCACTGGGCCGGCGGAGGCGAAGTTCAGGACGGGGGCGACACCGCCGTTGTGGGCCTGGCTGGAGCCTCCCAGCTGGTCGTACTGACCCTGGATGGCGCGCTGGGCGTTGGCGGCGTCCTCGGGAGTCCTGTACTTGACGAAGTGCACCTCGGGCTTGTTGTTGTTGTTGCTGCGGATGGCGTTCAGCTTGTTGGCCAGATCTCCAATGTCGGCCTGCTTGTTCAGGACATAGATGGCGGTCTCCTGCTGGGCAGCCTGCTTGGCCAGAGCCAGGGCGGCGTTCTCCAGTCCCTTGTTCTCGGGTCCCTTGATGAAGACCACGCGGAGGGCCTTGTTCAGGGCGGAGGAGACCTTCTCCAGCTGCTGGGGCTCATCGAAGTCCTGCTCGTTGGCGGTGAAGGTGAAGAACTCCTTCTCCAGCTCGGCGACGGGGGCAGGGGCGCTGTAGGAGACGGGGGCGCTGAGGGCTTCACCACCACCGATGCTGCCAATGCTGCCACCTCCAATGCTGCCCAGACCAGCTCCGCTGGCAATGCTGCCTCCCAGGGAGCCACCTCCCAGAGAGCCTCCAAGGCTTCCGCCTCCAATGCTGCCAATGGAGCCTCCTCCAATGCTGCCAATGGATCCACCTCCAATGGAACCTCCTCCAATGCTGCCACTGCCAGGAGCAAAGGACAGTCCGGAGCTGGAGTGACCCACGGGCTGGTAGTTGTAGCCGAGCTTATCGGCGCAGGCAACTGCCACCAAGCACATAACCTGTATACAGACAAACAACCATTATAATCCTTGCTTTCGTATCCTTTGGAGAGTCACTCTTCATCGTTCACCGATCCTTGCTATACTTACAATAAAAGCACGCATTTTGAATTTAGTTCTTTGACTTTGACCACTCGGCTGTGTCTGACGTTTGCAACACCGAAAGGTCCAATATTTATACGAAAACCAACGATCGGTGTCACTAGACTGCGCTCAAGTTCAGTTCAGACTTACCACTCTTGTTTTTGTTGGCTTGGAGCATTTTTTGGTAACTTCTTCGGCAGCTTTTGTCTCTTGAAATGCTATCCACCTTCGAAGAGACGTCGCTGGTGCGATAAAACAATGGCCAAGTCGTCGTGAACAAAGCGCATCGATATCTTGCCGCCCTATTCTTGCAAATGCTCGTCGTCGTCTTTATGCAAATATATTCCCCCCTAACTCGTAGTACCATCGATCCGAAAAATATATGCGGGCAGAAGACCTAGACCCATCAGCGTTGTAATCCAATAGAGCAGGCCAGAAAGCTGGAAACTCGTTTGGCAAAGCCACTATAAATGGTCATGCTTTCAGTAAAGAAATGATTTTCTTCATATTTTTTATATGCTAAAACATTTGGCGGAGAGCAGCGGAAACGAGTTCGAAAACGACTCGGTTTTTCTACACTTTTTAGTTGGTCCAGCCACATATTTCTAGCCGGGAATTCCCAGCGATTATTGCGTCCCCCTTTGGTATTGGAATATATGGCACATGTATGGTATTTGGGTATAGGGCTTGGGCTTGGGTGTGGGTTTGGCCATTCGATATGAGGCGTTGGGCGAAACAATGGCTCCGAAATGGTTAGAAATCAATTTTCGCCAGCCTTTTTTGCGCATCCATTCATTCATATCCATACATCCATCTATCAGTCCGGCCATCCATCTGTCCGGAGCTCTTCGCTCGACCATTTAACCTGTGGCAAGAGCACGGATTTGCAAAATAGAAGCCATAAAGTTAACAACCGTTGCGACCTTGAGGTTTTTTCTCTGTTTTTTACTGTTGACCAGCACCCGAAGCTACTCGGAATTCGGCGGTAATCAGCTGGCGCCAGGCGTCCATTTAATCTGATCAGCGATTATCACGTTTTTCATCATGGTTTATTGATATCATAAAAATTATTGTTTTTTTCTCGTTATTTTGGCAAAGGTTGGTGGCAGAGGGGAGCCTCAAAACTGATTTGATTTGCATAATTAAAGAGCAGCATCAGAGAAATACCCAAGATCCATATTTAAGATAGCCGAATCGATTTGCAAATCAATGGTGGCGAATCGCGGTTATGACTAAGATAATGATTGATATCACGGTTAACTATAGCGATGAGTAACTGAGGAAATCCGCTTAGCCCCCCAACCGTGATATCACTTTTTATGTGTGTTCCATATCTGATGGTGGTATGTGGTATATGGGTGTCCTACTCCCCGGAACCCCCAGAATCTAATCAAGATTCACACTCGAGGCAATAACCCAAAGTCAAAAACAATTTGTCTTGGCTTTGTGTGCGGCGGCGGCCCCACCTTTTGCCCACTGCCAACTGTTGCGGATCGTGGATTGGTCAGTCTCGGCCAAGTTAATCTCGCTGGTGGCAATGTCATATGCAAACTAAACAAATGTAAACATAATAAAACAAGCCAGCTACAATTTCAAGGTCTCGGGCGCCACACGCACATAAAAGATGCACGCAGCAGCGACATAAAAAATGGTCGAAATGTGGGGAAGAGTTTCCAGCTCGGCATCGAAGATAATAGCGGTCGGTCCCAAAGACGTTGGCGTATCAATAAATAAATAAAATCCGGCCCAGCCGAACCGAAGAAAAAACCAAATCAAACTCCGGGAGGGAATTTCTAGCATCGCTTTATGCAAATGGCCTTTCGGGTCAATCGATCTATTTACAAAATCTGTCACTGTTTATTATTTCTTTCATTATTTTGTATCTCTCTCTCTTTATAGACAGCCTATATTATTTTATTGCCATTGTTCGAAACGAATACAATTGTGCATTTAATTTATTCGAATATCGCCTGGCCGGGTGTCAAAACCGGGCGGTGCCTTTCAGGTGCAAAAATCCAATCGAAGCTGTCGCCTCGCCATAAATTGGGGCATTAGTAATTTCCTTAAATCATATACTGTATCTACTCAAAAAGCCCAGTTAAACGAGTTTGTTTGCTTCTTGCCTTTCTTTTGCAGAAATGTTTGCAGCTGTCGGCTTTTGAGAACTCTTTTACGAGCGGACAGCTTTTTGTTCTGTTCCATATTTTCTTGATTCGATTATTGTTTTTGTTTCAAAATTGTTTCCGCATACCTGGCGAATATGTTCTAACCAAAAAAGCTGACTGGCTAGCCACAAAATCATTTCTGTCTGCAAAAAAATAAAAAGATATATGCAAATATATTAAATTTGATATGCAAATAGCCGATATCAATTATTGCTAGCGCAAAAGCCCGAACCAAAGCGAACCGAACTGAAACTAAACTAAAGCTTATGCTAAAAAAGAGCGTTATTTTTTAAAAAGCCGTCCGGGAGTGCTGAAAGGAATAAATCAAATCAAATTTCGTCGAGCTGGCCAATTTGTTTAGCAAATTGTGTTAGCGATAAAAACATTTTGTATTGACAATCAAACGGCAACGACGACAGATGCTGATTATTATTATTTTTTTTATATATGTGGGGTTTTTGCGCAACCAGCTAAGTGGTCGAGATTATTTATTAAAAAGATGAGCATAAAAGAGATTTCTCTTTATGCGCGTTAATCAGCCGAAAAAGCCCCGGGAAATTGACACCACGAAGCCAGAAAATAGTAAAAGGCAGCAGGAAAAATCCTGATATATCTACAGAGTTATGGCAAAAGGCAAGGAAAATAAATTCTCAGCTTATTGTGTGATCCTTGGCGCCCGCAAGTAGGCAATAAATTATTTTCGAGGCCTCCTTAGTACGCATCGTAGGCTAAAAACACGAATTTCCCTGCTGTACATACAGTATAGTGTGCACATTGTCGTCGCCGCTTGAGCTCTCCATTTTATTTTAATTGCAGGCCTGCCTTTTCGCCTAATGCCGGCTTAATGTCCCAGTTTTCAGGATACTCCGGCACTCTTTACGACCAACAGCACGGTCCCAGTGCAAATTGTCGTTTAATTTATTAAGCAGCGACTATGCCGGCTTTTAATATGAATATGTGTGTGAGCAAAACACTAATTACAGATCCGCCAAGCCCCGGTCCTACAAAACCATGTATATATAGTAATTAGAAAATAAGAACACATAGGCGTAAATATTGCGCCAGTTCGCGTCTCGTTGGGTTGACATAAATTTGGGCCAACGCTGCGTATACGTAATGAAAGCCCCAGCCTACGGAATGGATCTGAGTCTGATTTCTGGGGAAAATCAAGTATAAAGCGAGGCCAGCTGCGATCGAAAACTGGTTGACCCAACTATCACCTGGCTGACCTGGTCTTTCCCAGTTCATTTCAATAATCCCCGCTAGCTCTTTCCCCTCTCCACGAAATTTATCGGCAACTTGAACTTGAAGATGTCGCCATGCCCATTTGCATTTCTAATGAAAACGTCACCAGAACTCGACTCTCCGGTGGTCTCGGAGATTTCGAAGCTTTTGTCTTTGGGTCGAGCGTAGAATTAACATATTTACATAATACCCACTAGGTGCACCCCGTTGAGTGGCCGTTGTTGTGTGAAATATGCTGAGACTCGGGCTTAATTGAGGCAAATATTTTCAGGAAGGCTTAATGTTTTCTTGTCATTTTCTAAGTACATTTTCGGGCAAGTGTCTAATGTATTTAACGAGTGCTTGCCTGTTGACAGCAATTTGGATTTTTAGCTAGTCCTCGCACTTGTGATGTTAAATATTTTTCCAAGTAATTCCATCAGCACGTTGGGAATTTGATTTTATGGCATGCTTGACTTTAACGAACAACGGAGTGCGTATACTTGATATGCTTTAAGAATGGCTGCTGCCAGGGGCTCTCCATATTGGGTATTCCTGCTGGAACCGCCCTGTTTATGCGCTGCACATGACAATGAGTGGGAATCGTGGGCCCATGCCGGGATATCGCCCATTGGCCGCACTTGTCACGTCCGAGTCAATGGGCATGGTCTCGAGAAATGGCAGGGGGTTAGGGGGTCAGGGGTCAGAGGTTACGAGACCCGGGGAGCGCGTTAAGTAATGCCGTGTTGTTCCGTTAAAAGTGACTTTAGCACGTGTGCCGTCCACGTCAGATCAGCATCAGAATCAGCATCGGAATCAGCTTACTCGTACGCACCAAGCCAACTTCTCGAAAGAAGTAGCAAACGATCTAATAACAATTCCTGGAACGTTCCTTCGCTTTGTATGTACTCACCGGCCCTTCAAGACGATGCTGCTTGGTTTAATCAATCAGCAAACTAGTTGCACGTGCTCCTAGGATTCGATGAAACATCCTTAAAAGAGCCTCCAGCCTAGCCAGCGTAGTTTATGAACTTGGTCAGGCTTATTATTGGAAATTTCATAAATTATAAGCCCAGGTTATCATGTTTGACAAACATTGCGTTGGCCTTCGATTGGTGCGTACGTGAGCAGGTGACAGATCTATCAGACCCGCTGACATGCATACCATGGATATGGATGGGAATTGGTATAGGGATAAGCATAGGTATGCCCCATCAATAAGCCCGGGAAAAGGTAGCAGTTGTTTTGGCTTCCACCGCGCGTCACGTTTCAAATTTATTACACACAGAAATTCTTCAATTTGGCCAACGCCTGTCAATTTCACTGGTGTTGCTGGGTTGCTTTTTCCCCAGGACCAAGGCGAAACTATTTAATTATCCCACCTATATCGACGACCAGGGGATTTTGACCAGAAATCAACTCTGTTTTCGTTCCATTCACTAAATCCAAAATGATTTCCAGCTGGGCCTAATCTGGCCAGCATTAAGCCGTCTTGAGCAAACAACCGCCGAATGTCACTTGGCAGTCTGATTGCGAAACAAATAAAAGTGCCAGGATGTAGGGATGATGGGAAGGTGTCGTATTTGGGTTTAGAATTCGGTGGTTCGGGGTTTGGGGATTCCGGTTTGGCCAACAGCAGGCCGTGACTGACGCTTATCAATATTTGCACAGTAACGAGGCGAGAATTTTTTCGGA